AATAAATAGAGCCTATTTACTGGTACCTTCAGAATCTACTTTCTCATATCCTCAGACAAAAAAGAAGCATCAACCGTCTCAAACAACAATTTATTAACACCAGTACCGATTGAAATAATGATGTTCTCCCAAGAGTTAGGCTGTAAGAACCCACCCCGTTAAATTAGGAATTTAAATAATTTAATTATGAGTTTAAGAAATAATTCCATAATTGACCTTGGATAAATATAAAAAGATTAGAATAATTATTGAGAAGGACAAATAATGCTTAAATCATTGTTCTGATGAAAAGTGCAGATATCGATTCTGCTTCGCGGTATAAATGCGTACCAGTGAAGTATTCCAAAAAATTATAATAAAAATATAAATATTCCTAGAAAAATATATAGGTCTAGGATATCAAGTTTGGAGCAAGAATAATGAGCGATGTTGCCAGAACTAATATCGGCTACGTATAAAACGCGTACTGGCAAAGTGTTTCAAAAATTATAACAAAAATAATTCCTAAAAAAATGTCTAGGTTCAGAATATTAAGTTTGGTAGAAAAATGATTACCGAAGCTATTAGAACTAATACCGATGGATTAATTAAGTGCACTAATAAATAGGAATTGCACACAGCCCTAGGTCAGAAATTGCAAATCCTACGTAGCTGCATTCCACTCCCTCATTACTGCCACCTTCTTCCACCCAACCCCATAGTCTTCCATGCAAGAAACCACCCAAGACACCACATTTTCTATTGGTTCTTCCTCTCTAATCTTGTAAACACTTGAGAGCAGACTTGGTGAGGGAGAAAACCATTTCTTAAGAGGTTCTGAACTCTGTTTGTGGGGGTTGAGTTGCTGACTTCTTGGTTGAGAGTGTGAAGGACATTTTCACTCACTTTGGTGCTTCAAGAGGCCATTTTGTGGAGGAAAGAACCTTGTTGGTAGACCAAATTTGTGGCCTTGTTGAGTCTGAGTTGTAGGGTGGTGAGAACAGGTTCAAGACACTTCCTTTTTTTCTGTTTTCAAAAGCCTTAATGTAAACCATGATCATTTCCTTTGAAGTTTCATGAACATAGCTTGTTTGAGTCTTTAAAAATAGGAACTTTGATTATTCAAGTTAAGAGTTATTAATCTATGTATAATAGGTGGTAATAAACTTCTGTTTATGGAGACATTGGACTTAGAACCATTGGGGAACCCTTAAAATCAAGTTTATGCAGAAACCATTCGAGTTTTTGCATTCTGTCTGAAAAGTATTCGAATACTTCTCGTGAAGTATTCGGATACTTGCTTGGTATTTAAATACTTATCAAGAAGTATTGGGATACTTTTCTGGGAATGGCAGTATTCGAATACTTTGGTGAAGTATTCGAATACTTATCCTGGAGTATTGGGATACTTAGTGATATTCAGATACTCTAGTAAAAGTATTAGGTTACTTTTGGTATTCGAATACTTTACTAAAAGTATTGGGATAATTTTTTGGGAACAAGAAGTATTCGAATACTTATTGAGGAGTATTCCAATACTCTTGGCAGATTGGGCCTAAAGTCAATTTTAACAAGTTGGGAAGCCTTAAATACAATATAGAACCTTAATGAAATTCTAGAGTATGAATATTGATGATGTAAATGCTATGAAAACATATATGTGACCTTGTTGGACATTGTTATTACTTGTGACCCTTGGACACCCAGTTGTGAGGGAGGATTTAGCTTGATAGGTAAGTTTCTGGTCCTCGGATTGATCTGTTGCTTGTTCCACCGACCTCCATGGGAGGGTGGTTTATATTCATAGTATGCTTTTATGAAAATGATATATATACGCATTGGTATATGTCAGAGATATGTGGATATACCTGTGATGTAATGCATGGATGTGATGTTGATTACTTACACGATCAGGATGTAACCCTGGTGTGTAAGGTATAAGACTGCGACCCTTATGTTTAGGTAGGTCGCAGACGTGTGTAATTCCTATCATGTTTCCTGGCCAGTTAAACCGCACTTGCATACATCACATGAGATATGAACTGTGGTACATGACTTGTATTTAGTGTTTTGGATGTATTATCATAATTATATTGCTTTAACATGAACATGCATTGTATTTAGTGTTTCGAACTTATTATATACTTGTAAGTGAGCTTGGGACAGAAGAGCCATTGAGGACCCATTGTCTTACTGAGATTTCTTACTAGAAATCTCATCCCGTGTGCGGCACATTTTCATGTACAGGTACCTCTGAGGTTGAGACTTCTGGTGACAGGAGGCCGGAGTTGAGCTGATATTATGCATGCTGCTTTATTGATATATCTGGATCTTATTATGCTTTGTTCTTATTATATGGCTATTGTACCTGAGACATGACTTGATTATGTTGTTTTATTTGCTAAGCATGGGGGTTGTCCATGCCACATTGGTATAAGTTATGTTTAATTCAGACTTGAGTTGTATTATTGTATCAGGACATGTCTGGTCTACGTGTTGTAATTCCATGACTTGATACTTATTTATACTATGAGGTTATTCAGTGTAGTTATTTATTGTAATTTACATACAGGCTATATTTTGAAAAAAATAAGTAAATCCACTTGGGTAAAATGATAAGTTTCATAATTGGAAAATTTTAGCTTCCATATTTATTGAGCTACGCTATTACCATTTATATGTTTAATACACCAGGTGCACACGGGGTGTTACTTAGGCAGTGAACACAACGAGGTGCAAGTTTTGTCTTCCTCATCGAGGTTGACATCTACAAATGTAATTACACACAAACAGTATTAAATTCATTTAAATCAGCAGAGAAAGAATCACCTTTGCTCATCCGCAAATTATACAGCCTCCTTCGCAGAAACAACTTGTCCACGAGTGACTTGCATTGATAGAGACCTCCCAGCTTCGTCCAGAGATCCTTTGCTTCCTTCTCTGAAGTTACGTTCACTAGAACGTTATCTGCCATGCATAAACAAATCAAGCTTCGTGCTTTTCGATCATCTCTGATCCATGTCTTCAACTACTTCGACTCGCCTGCCTCTGATGTTTCGTCACTGACACGTACTGATGGCTTCTCATCGTCGATCACGTATCACATATCCTTATCAACGAGCAAAGCTTCCATCTTTAGTTTTCTTAACTCGAACCCCTTTCCACCAAACTTTTCAACATCGATCCTTGGTTGTCCAATCGACATCCTTTCCAGATCAATTTCGTAATTTTCTCTACACCAAGAAAAAATCCCAAATCGTAAAACCTTAATCTACCATCACAGGAACCTCGGTCGCAGAACCAAAGCCTAAATACCACTATCAGGCGAGTCCAGGAGGAGCATGTGGTGGAGGACCACCACCAATGGGCTTAATTAGCTCAATCATACCAAGTAGATCCAACACCATGTTACAACCCAAAATCTTAAAGCAATGGATTCATGGGTCTATCCACTTATATCAACTTCATTTAGCCCATTATCAACCAATTAATATAGGACTCATCACAATTGAATATTCCAACACCCGCTGCCATCACCACCTCCACCATCATTACTATTATCCCACCACCACCATGTCGCCGCCCCTACCACCATCTCTGCCATTACTAAATCTTTCTCACGTAATTTGTTTTCACATATACTTTTTAGTATTTTAATTTATACATAAAAAATATTTTTAATTTTAACATTCAAATAATATGTTCAGTCAACATTACTTTTCATTATATTGAAGTGCAAAATAAATTTAGCTTTAAAAATGAAATTTTCTAAAATAAACAAGACATAATTTATTTTTATTTTTTTCGAAAGTCATCCAAAATGGGCCTTACAAGTACTCTTCCTCCAAAGCAAAAGATCTACGGAGTTACGTGTAGCGTGACTGAAGGAGGGCCTCAGGCAACGGGCCAATTCAATATGTTTGCAGAATTACTCTCTCTCTCTCTTTTTCTTTGATATTTAAAAAATGGATCCGATTAAAGATGCATGCAGAGTACTACTAAATTTGTTTTTACAAACTTAAAAGCAAAGGCAAAGATGTAACTTAATGTCTAATTATTAAGAATTTGACAAAGCAGAATGACAAAAAATTTGTAAGTACAACGTTTACTTAAATCTCTATCGTATCCTAGAATCTTTAGAAACGTTAGAAAATACTTAGGGAAAAAGATAACAAAAATCATTACAAACTATTGTGCTGCTGACCAACTTAATTTATATTAAAACCAGTGCTTCCGAGTAACTCGCTCGTTGTCTCATTAGCTATTAATGTATCTACACAAATATCAGAATAAAATCACAGACATCGTTCTAGCTTAGCTGAAAGCTGCATTAATGTTGAAACCTTTAGATAGAGCGAAGTTACAGAATTATCACGCCCAAGGATTCCCCATCCTATGCGTTTTCCCTTTACTTCGTTTGGTTTCTATATAATGCTTGTGTATGTGTGTCCCTCCGTTTGTATTTCATTTGGTTAACATATACATTTGAATTCTGATCTGTCAGTGCATGTAAATCAATTCATCCTCTTTGCATTCTCTTAATGCAATTTCCATTATTAGGTCACAAAATAATATCTAAGTTTACATCTTTTGCAAAATTCAATTACATATTTTATCCCATCCCCTAGCGCGTATAATAAAATGTGACGTAGTTGCTCTTTTTAGCCCATAAAACCTCATTATTTGTTATATGGATGGATTAATGGTCATTTGCGTTCTAGCCGTTGATGCTTTGAGAGATTCTTAACTGTTTGGGGATTAAGATAAATTTATTGCTATGTAGCATGATCAAACGCACGGAAATAAAGAGTGGTTTGAAAAAAATTTCAAAAATTATACATAAGAATAGGGGTAAAATAATATTAATGTTTAAACAATGACAATAAAATAATCCATGACGGTACAATATGCATACTACAAAACACAAGGAGATTAAGATACATAGCATATGGACTTCACACTCATCACACTTTCAAACATCGTCCTAAATTCATGTTCATGTCATCCTTAACCTGTAAGTTCTACTCTTTAACAAATGGGTAAATCTCATATTGGATGTTGCAACTTCCGCCGACAACTCTACCTCCTTGTTTTCCATCACAACAACTTGGAAGTTCGCTAATTGCGTCATCAAGACATTTCTTGCAATCCATGCTTGTAATGTCTCTTGTGCACTGAGCTAACCCATAAACTTTCTCTGATTCTCCAATCATTAATAGTTTTCCCGATGCATACATTTTAGGGTCAACAGAAGCTTTGTAAGCAAGTACACTCAACAATTCCTTGGTCATGTAGTTGAACATGTTAGGATCACTCACGTTTTGCACGTTCCACAAAGAGAACTTGTTTGCCTCATCAATCTTGCCAATGAAATCTGTGTCCAAATACTTGAACAAACAGTTATCGTACCATATGATGGCACCTTTGTTGTATGGACAAAGATTGAGGATTTCTTTGGTTGCTTCAGAAACACAAGTTTTGCATTCTGAGGCTGATACATCGCCACGGCAAAGAGCGAGTCCATATGCTTGTTGGTTTTGGTATTGGCCAACTGAGCCAACACCAAAGCCTGTTGAAGGGGTTTTGTAAATAAGTGAGTTTATGAGCGTTTTCAAGTTTGATTCATAGGGAGTGTTGGATGTGAAATTTTCAGAACTTGAACACGAATGGGAAAGAGGGTCAGCTCCAAAAGATGTTTGGAGAAGTAGAACCAAGGTTAGAGAGAAGAGAAAAGAGGAAATGAGCTTTGAGCAAGACATTTTGGAGGTTGATGAAGTTGGTAATGTTGGATTTGATGATTCTGATTGAGTACAGCCTCAATTTATAGTGAAAGTTATACCTATAGACTATAGTTTTGTATGAGAGAAAAAATCAAAAGGTTGATCTTTTCTGTTCACTTTTCTTGGTAACTAATTAAAGTACACTATTTGATGAGACAATGTCAAATCATAACGCGTAAAGGATTTGGCCAGCCAAATGCCTAGTCCAAAATGACTTCTGTATATATTAATTAATAGCGGATCATTGATTTTTTATTTAAATACTTGGGAATTCTAACCGAATTAATAGAGACATTAAAAGGAACTAGATCCCGGCAACAGCATATATTACTTGTATATTCTAACTAAATTAATCAATTAAAAGTATAATTTTTGCATATCCTCCGAAAACACATTTCTAGTATCCTTATCAATATTCATTAAATAAAAAAGTGCATGTATTTAACATCTTGCGGAACTTTCTTCATTTAGCGATTTGAAGAAAGTAAGAATAATTTTAAATCTTCTCAGTACATCAGCTAATTGACGCCCGGTGGGAGGAAGTTCTTTTGAAGAGAAATAGATATAAAGAAGTGGAATCCATATCTTTAATTTTTTGTCTTTATTTTTTTCAGTAGGACTCACATTATTTTGTGTCTATCTTTTACTTAAAAAGATCTAAATTTATATAATTTAAAAGGACACACTTTTTCCATTTTACAAAACCGATATATGTGGTTATCAAAACCATTTTTTTTCATTCAAATTACAAAATACCCAATAAATCGAATGAGATTTGTGAACTCTATTTCTTCTTTGACTCTTCTCTTTCAAAATACCCACGTTGTTGTTCTTTGATTTCAGAAACCCCTTACACTTTCTTTCTCTTTTGCGTCGTCTTCTTCTTCGTTCTCGAATATCAACTATCTGATGAGTCTCCAATTTATTATGTATTAAAGATTAATATGAGCATAAAATTAATTTAAAAGTAATTAAAATTTATGAGAATTATAATTAAATTATTATTTTATTCTCAGTAATATTCTCATAAAAATTCTTATATTTTGAAGTAATTTTCAGCTCAATAAAGAGATAAATTGGAGAGCTCAAGTGGATTTGTTTTAGATTTCTGAATCATTGAAGATCTTATTGAATCTTTCTTTGAATATTTTTAAGGAAAACTTTCCTTTAAATATAAAAGGGAAGATTTGAAGTGTTGGATTAAAGATATGATTGGAGATTCTAGTGAAGATTCCATTGAAGATATTATGAGAAATTAAAAGATATGGTTTCATCACTATAAAAAGGAAACTCTTGGAATTCGACAGAGGCAAGCACATTCAGAGGAAGGAGGAGAACACCAGATACCAGAGTTGGAGATTTCAGAGAGAGAGAGAGGAGCTTGAAGGAGATCGAATATCATTGATTCTCCGTCTTCTTCTTCTTCTTCATGACTTCTTCTTCTTCTTTTTATTTCTTTGTTTTGTTTAAGTCAGCTATGTCTGGCTAGTTTTCTTTTATAGTTAAGGTCATGGATCTGATGTGAACCCTTTTGATATTTAAATTGTTTTTATAATTCTTTTATTTCAATTAGTTTTATTTTACCTTGAATGAAATTTCTATATCCTTATTAGAATTGATCACTCTTATAGGACTTTGAGGGTTAGAGCTCACAATAGACATATTGAGATTTTAATTCTGACTGGGGTAAAATAATAATTTGTACATGATTTAGACATACGCTTGTATGAATTGAAGACTTCTTAATTCATTGAAATTAATGCTTAATTCAAGAAGGATAACTAAGACATTAAAATTCTAATTGGATTAAAGGGGTAAATACACTAAGACATTAGGGTTTAACCAATTAATTTAAAGAAGATGAATTGTCTGAATTATGGTAGTTAAAATACCGATTTAAATCTGCGATTTTACGTTTTTACGATTTTTTTAATCAAAACGATTTCATCAAAATTCCAAACGCTTTTACGATTTTACAATTTTTAATGAATTTTTTACGTTATGATTTTACATTTTACGATTTTTCATCCTCCTTCCGATTTTAGGTAAAATCTCAATTTTAACTATCATGGTCTGAATAATTGAAATTATTGATTATAAGAATTAATTTAGATTAATAAGAGGGATCAAATGTGAAGTGTACCTTGACTATAGTTCTTTATTATAATTCTTAATCGTTCTTGCATATTTTTGATAGTTTTTAGAATTACTTTTCGTTTTATTTTAATTGAACAATTATTCTCTACATCAAATTGATTTAGTGTATCAATTCTCGTGAAACGATGCTTTGCTCACAATTTATTACTTTCCCTAATCGGAACACCATCTCTGGTGAACGTTAGACACGATGCTCCGACCAGATTGTTGGTAGTGGCAGGGTCAGTAAATCTCGTATCGGATGTTGCAACTTCCGCCGACAACTTCTCCTCCTTGTTTTCCATAGAAAAAAGCATGGGAGGTTCTCTAATTATATAATCAAAAGCTTTCTTGCAACCCATTCTTGTAAGGCGTCTCGGGCACTGAGTTAACCCATAAACTTTCTCGGATTCTCCAATCATCAGCGCTCCCGATGCATACGCTTTAGGGCCCACAGAAGCTTTATAAGCAAGTAAACTCAACAATGCCTTATCCATCTTGTTGAAAGTGGCTGGGTCAGTACTTACGTTATTCAAGTTCCACACATAGATCTTGCTTCTGTTGTCAATAGTACCAAAGAAATCTGTATCCAAGTACTTGAACAAGCAGTAATCATACCATATGATGGCACCTTTGTTGTAAGGACAGCGACTGCGGATTTCTTTGGTAGCCTCAGAAACACAGGTTTTGCAATCTGAGGTTGAGACATCACCTCTGCAAAGAGCGAGTCCATATGTTTGTTGGTTTTGGAATTGGCCACCTGAGAAAACACCAAAACCTGTTGGAGGGGTCTTGTAGATAAGTGAGTTGATGAGCGTTTTCAAGTTTGATTCATAGAAACTGTTAGGTGTGAAGTTCTGTGAGCTTGAACATAAATGGAATAGAGGGTCAGCTCCAAAAGATGTTTGGAGGATGAGAGCTAAGGTCAAGGAGAAGAGAATAACGGTAAAGATTTTTAAGGGAGACATTTTGGTGATCAAGGAAATCTTTGTTTAAGATGGTTTTGATTTTGGGATTGTGAAGAGAGAGCCTATTTATTGGCCTTTGAGGAAAAGTTCAAGTAATTGACACTTTCTATTGACCATTTTAAATACCACAATTGTCCCCACCTTACCCTTGTTGAGGCATGCGTAGGCCGTAGCAGCGTTAGCCCACTCCCATTCATACAGAAGAATGGCATGAAAATATATTCAAAAAAAAAAAAATTGGCATGAAAAGCGACTGTATAGAGGTGGTAACGGCGAGGCTCAAAAGGTCAAAGTCCCTTAGTTTAACATAAATGTAAATTATTTTATTATTAATATATTTATAATAAATATTGTTTAAGGAAAAATTCTACCAAAGCATATTGTACTCATTATTCTATTTCTTTTTTTTTTCTGGAGTACAAAAGGAGCCAAGGGGAAAAGCCCAAAAGAAAACTACAAATTAACAACTACTGGATCCAGAAGTGGATCCAAAGCTGAGGGTGCTTCAGGGAGCACAACAAAAGATTCTCTAGAATGAAGGGCTTGTTTAGCCAAGTAGTTAGCTCATTTATTAGCGTTCCTTTTCACATGAATGAAGGGCTTGTTTGGCTAAGTAGTCCGCGCATTTATTAGCATTCCTTTTGACGTGGATGAGAGAGCATTTTTTATAACTATGTTTACGAGAATTATATAGTTATAATATTAAAATTATTTTTTTTTTCTATTTCCACATGAGTTGACAATTTTTTAAAAGAAAAAAAATAACTTTAATATTATAAATTTATACTCTTCAAAATACACATAATTATAATACGACCGTTGCGCTGAATTGTATATTAAAAAGTCACTCTCAAGTAAGGAAGTACGGACACTTGTAAAAACAGAGAGAGTTGTGTCTGACACGCTCTAACACAGCGACACGCTCCGACACGGTGTCAGACATGAGGTCAACTTTTTCCGACACGTTGACCATTCCGACACGCGAATCTGACCGTGTCTGACACGGTCAAATGGCATTTTCGTGAATTTTTTTTTTAAAAAATTAAAATATATTAATAAAGCTTCCACCTGATCATATCAATTTTATTTTTTTGTCTTTTTTCCCCTTAAGTAGATAAGAGATCATCTCAGCATCATTGTTGTCAATTCTTATCACGCTCTTGTTGTATCTCCTTGTCTCTGATCTCTCTCTAATATGATTTGATCTCCCTATCTGATATTATATATCTCACATCCCAGTTCTTATTTTTTTTATTAACGTTTCCATCTTTATAACGTGTTGATGAGTATTATTAATTTAGTTTCATTTTTTGTTAAATTATTAAATATTAAATGAAATATACACTATATAAATTAAAAATATTATTTAATATTAAAACGTCACTACAAAAATTCAGGCATTTTGTGGGGGTCATATTTTCATATTGTGGGGGTCTTTGACCCCACAAAGTATATTTGTGGCATCCTCAACAACCCCCAGTTTTACCTACGCCACAACATATTTTGTGGAGGTTTTATGTGCAATGCCACAATTTGTTAAAATATTTTTTGGAGGCTCTAGACCCCCACAAATGATTCAGTTTCTGGAGGTTTAAGACCCCCACAAATTTGTTGAAAATTTAAAAAAAAAAATCAATTTTTCTGTAAAATAAGAAAAATTGAATTTAAATTAAAAAATAAATTTAAAATAATTATGATATCAATAAACTTGGCCTTGGATTACTCGATAAATAGTTAAAACAAATTTAATCTCAGAATTTAAATAAAACCAAGCAGTGAATATTCAAATTAAAAATTAAATTTAAAATAATTATGATATCGACAAACATGAACCCTCAAAATATTAATGAAGCTTTCAGAAACCATTAACAAAAG